ATTCGATGTAAACACTCAAGTGTTCCGTAAATTGTTTTGAGTAGTATATATTGATTTGAGAGGCACTGAAATAGAAGTGGCGCGCACATGTGCTTATTACTCCATAATCGCAAACATTTGTTTATCTGATATCATTTGTTATCTGCACATTTACTTCTACGTTAGTTCACAGCAGTAGAAAAAATTGTTATAGGACAAGTGTCATTTGATCTACATGCGGCCACGTGACTTTTGCGATCATATTCAATTATAAACCAAACTTTGGTTGTAGCATCTTTGTTCCGAGTGCCTTAAAATCTGTCAAACTATTAGAACAGCCCATAATAGCATATCATGTTAAAAAATCTATTTATCAGAAAATTGCTCAACCAAATTTTCTAAATTATAGATTGTGGTGTATATCAGCAAAGGGAAATAATATTTGACAAGATTCCTATTGGCTAACGTGCCCATTGTTCGATATTAATGTCATATCCTTTTTTTCAAAAACAGGACAATATATTCTGTCACATGTTGTTCATAGACGACTTAACTGTGAATGACTGACCTAATCAGTGAAATACAGTTCGACCGAATTCGTTGTTTTTATCTAGAAAAATTCCTTGCATACGAACAGCAAATTACATGAATAACATGGAACATTTCCCCGAAACCGAAATTCTCATCTAACTGTAAGACCGTCGCTGATTCGCTGCTGAGTTGGAATGACAATTTTTGGTTTCAAATAACCCAAAAAATTGTTCTTCGTGTAATTAGGCGTAAAATGTACATAAAGATATTCTATAATACAGTGACTAACATTATGGGCATAGTTATTATTGATTAGTTCAAAACCAATAATGAAAAGTGAAAAGGCAGGTGCGAGGAGTACAAATCTTGTTAAAGCGGAGCAGTAGTCACCTACGCATGCGTCAGCTGGCCATAGCGTGCTATTGTTTACAAACAAGCGCCTACCCATGGGCCTTTGCGTTCTTAGCGCGTTGTTATCATCGCTTGGAACTCAATTCCCGCTCGTGCGCAGGTGACGACACTCCCGCTTGAATATATATATGTTATATGAGATTCCGGTCAATATTATGTTTTACTCCAGAAAAGAACCATTTAGCCACTAGCGTTGCGAACAGTAGCGTTGTGTTCGGGGAGCTGATAACACTTACAAGTAGAAATACCAGTTTCGACCCAAATGAATACATATTAGTTAATTACAGATATAGTCCAGCTTTATTCATCGAAATGGTCAGCAAAGTTAACGCGTCACTGCCCACCTCTCTCCTTCTTTTTCTTTACAAAGCCTTAACAACTCTAGCATGAACTCTATGGCGTGACACAGTAAAAATGCGACCAGCCAAACGCTGCAGTCGTTGGCACGATCACTTGATTACCAGGAATGTGTCTCACGGTTAAAGCCTTGGAAAGTTGCGACTACTAAATACAATTAGTGAAACCCCTATTTATAACATTCCTGTAATATATTTTTATAATGTCTACCCTAAACATGCAAGTTGTTGATTCTAAACAATAATGCAACGGAATATGAACCAAATGTGAGTACGTGAAATTACTGATAACACCTAGATGAACACAAAACGTAAGTCAGCTTGTCAGCAATGACTAGGCTGAAATGGAACTTGTTTGGACTCTACACCATTGATGCGTTCATCACCATAATTGTAATACCAGTCTGCGTTGCATTCTACTGGCGTGGTATGTGGGGATTACTTGACGTATATCTTCTGCCAGACTCACCGTGTTCAAGTGCTGGTATTTCGCTGATTACAGGTCTCGTTCTTATCGTGACTTTGAACCTAGCACAGGATTTACTTATGTGATGTGTACATATTACCTGATGAATTTGAAATAAGTTGCTGGATCACTTTATCTGTGAGTGTCGTTGTGCTCTATTTCATTTTAGCCGCTAGAAATATGGGCGGCGGGGATTTTCGTATTGACGGGAAACCCCGGGACGGCACTGGCGTGTACTACGAACACTACTTCGACAGACTCAATGACATTAAATTTAAGACTACCATAGAGGTGCCACGAATGAAGGATGCCTCAACTACCGCGAAAATAGTTGAACTGAGTGGATGTGAGAATGTTGTCAGCCGTGAAATTATCATGGGAACAGAAATATCGAGCAAAATGAACAAAATGCTGAAATAGAGTGATTTGACACAAGGGCATATTCATTTAGAACGTAGTCACGCCAACTTCATTATCAGCATTTTTAGTCAAATCCACTGAACATTATAGTCATCCAATCCTTTGGGGTTGGAACTATATTATTATTGCTCAGAACGTTTTCTTTCTCTTCATATTTACTTTCAAAATTACTGCAAGAAGTGCATAAATTCATATAAAATTTAGCTTATAGCATCTTTGTTGCACAGAATGTAAAAAAAAATATTTATTAGAAGCTGCTCAATAAAATTTTACAAATCATGGGTTGTGGTGTCTATCAGTAAAATGCATCAATATCTGACAAGATCATTATTGATTACCGTGATGAGACCAATGAGATATCGTTTTTATAAAACAAGCCAATATTCTTGAATCGAACTAGGTTTAAGGCAATCTTTACCAATGTCCAAATAATCATTAAACACCAATTGTCGGTTTATTCTGGAAGCATTGCCGAGTATCAAGTTTTTAGGGAAAAACGATGGTAAAAACAAGAAACACGCGTACGTAGGTTAGTTGTAATTTTTCAATGCGTCCAAGCTGTAAACACTATTATTTGTTGTCGAGCACAGTGTCCAGGGTTATGTATGCACGGCAGCATTGTCGAAGTCCACGTGTTGCTCATAGACAACCTCAGCATGAACGACTGACTGAGCTAATGCAATGAACGTCCCGTGATGTATAAATGCGTTTAACAGGAATGCTATTCTACGTTCATCCAGGTATTTTTTTTTCATTCATCATTCTATTGTTAATCTACACACAAAAAAATACGTAAAACATAACGCGTATATAGACTAATATATAAATGAATATACCGTACTCCACCGCGTTAGCGCCCAGGGGCCTCAACTGAGAAAATCACGATTTTTTAGGGGTGGGCGCTTACCCGAGCAGCCCCCTCGAAAAAGAGTGCAAATGAAAAATTTGATTCATCAAGTGACAGATTACGTCTTTGAGGGAAAATCAAATTACGAAATTAGTTGAGTCGTCATTGATTTTCACAAGGAAGAAACAAAAATGATCACAACAAATATGCACATTTTATTACAATATTAATTACGTACCACCAGAATTTATGAAATTAAAAACATTTGAGTCTGTGGAACACAGTCGAAGTCAAAATTGTCATATTATCTCTACTGACGAAGGTGTTGGATCGTACGCAAACTCTCGATGAAAATCACTTTCCGCCATGATGCATTTGCATTGACCTGCAGCAGCATCCTTTGACCTAATGGGTCAAGTTGATTATTTACCAATCAGAATGCTGTGTTGCACTGACGCAATTCTTCGGAAATTCCCGAAGACTTTCCGGTAACGCAATGCGGAAGTGAATTATCGATTTCGAAGTACGATCTGTTGGAATTTATTTCAGCGAATAAACGACATGGTTTTTACAAAAAACTAGCAACTAGCCATTTTTGAGAGGTAAACTGAATATGGCATGAAATATTTACCGCATTTTACTTGTATTAACAGGCCATTGTCGAAGCGTAGTTTACGCACGGTTACCGTGTTCTACGCATTCATAACATGTTCACAGCGGTCGATATCCTTGCTGTATCATACAAAAACGATTACCAAGATTCGTTACGCAAGACCAAGTTTTAAATTAGTTGCATTTTGAAGGGATGGACGCTTTGCCGAATGTGACCCCAAATATAAAAATTGCGCAAAAGTGGGGGGGGGGGGGGGAGGGGCGCTTGCCCGGGCATGGGCGCTAACGCGGTCGAGTACGGTATATTATTCAAACAAACAACAACAACATTGCGTGCTTCACAATTAGAGATGTTTTAAATCAGATGAGCTAAATATAAAATGAGTAGTCAAAACAAAGCATTATATACAACAAAACTTAGTGAATCCTCTATCCTCTCGAAGTTTCTGGCGTTAGAACCAACCACCGATGACTTCTTGGGGAAGGGGTTATCTGTGATGTGATCACACTTAGAACAAATTGCACAATGTTTCGGTCCTTATTCACTCCTATATTCTGTGCATATTTAGGAACATTACATAAGTCATAACGTATGTCATTATGCAGTGTAGCTTTGTATTGTATCACACCGTGTTTGGTAATAAACTAAGAAGACTGAAGATCCGGAGCAAGTCAAACCTCTGGACTCTTTTGGTATTTATTAATTCTGTCAATAACACGTACTGGTACATGATACAGGATTTAGCAGAATACAAGGGTTGTATAAAAATGACCTAGATACTATATCCAAAGTGTATTTAGCTAGCTTATGACATGTTATTTTAAAAACGTTCATCGCCGACTTTCCAAATATAAGTAAGCTGACAACTAAGTGCCCAAGTCTTTTTTAATTAAATACATGAATGTTTTATTCTAAAAGGTTCATCTCACAGCAATACTGATTTAAAATACATTTTTTACTGTTTAAGGGCAAAACATTTAATTTATAAATTTGTCGCCATTTTAATTGATACATTATCTGACTGACTTTCGGGATAATTATTTAATTTAGTAAGCACATGATTAAACATAATTATACTTTACATTTTTTCAGAAAAAAGGCATGTCATGATTCTCATATTCTGCTTTCACAAGTAGCAATTGTTATTGGTCTTGGTCATTTGAGATGGGAATTAAAAATTAATAGAAGGGTGAACATATATATGGCATTACTACAAAGGATAAAGTTCTATATACCCCAAAAAACAAGATGAACTTGGTATAATGTTTTCATACTCGTATAACAATACAGTACAATATCTAGTGTGACCTTGAGTTGCTTCTTATCTTGTTTTACAAGACTTATACATACGCCTACTTGGATAACAGCTTGTCAGCAATGACCAGACTAAAATGGAACCTGTTTGGACTCTACACCATCGATGCGTTCATCACCATATTTGTAATACCAGTCTGCGTTGCATTCTACTGGCGTGGTATGTGGGGATTACTTGACGTATATCTTCTGCCAGACTCACCGTGTTCAAGTGCTGGTATTTCGCTGATTACAGGTCTCGTTCTTATCGTGACTTTGAACCTAGCACAGGATTTACACATCCGACTCTTTCCCTACAAATCGCTTCGATGGTACATTTACAGTAAGGT